GGGTTGGATTAGATTACCTCCAAGGTCCTCTTAGCTCTAATTCTTGAGATCCTATTTCCCTGAGAGGCTATCCCATCTTGTTACTCTATTTGTATTATCAGAACTGCAATGATAATGGCCCTATGTGGACATATTGTCTTCCCCAATAGAATGCAAACTTCTTGAAGGCAGAGACAGCTTTCACTTTTCTTTGTATCCTCAATGCCAGCATAGTACCTGGCACACAATAGGTGCTTAATAAATGCTTGTTAATGATTGATTGACATTTCTTTGTGACTGCTGTAATAGTAATGACACCATACCTGGATTCAATAAACCTGAGTTCTACTCCAAGCTTTGCCTCTAATTGGTTGGGACGGCCCTGAGTGAATCATTTCATGTATCTGAGCCTCAGTTTCCTTATGTGTAAAATGAAGAGATCATAGTTACTTATTTCAACATATGACTGGGTGATACCTTGCTAGGAGTTTCTTTAAGGCAGCATTTTGAAATAAACAATAAGCACAGTAGGATCTTATATTATTTTATACTTCTGGGTTAATTGGGTCAAAGCTATTGCCTGCTATAGAAAGGTGTTTGCAAAAGCCTGACAATTCACATCTCATATTTTCATCAATGCTTGCATAGATGGTTCTCATAAAGATTTTGTATATGTTAGAAAAATAAATATATGGTTGGTAGTTAAAATAAATGAGGTTAGATTAGGTTATCTCTAAATGCCTTCAAGCCCTAAGATTCTGTGAATCTAGTGACGAGATCTTTGGGCATCAGAGCAGGCCTTCAAGATGATGCTCTGAGAAAAGCCTTGAGGGATTCTCCCAGTCACACTGCCCAGATAGCAGAGTCCCTTTCTTAACTGTAGAGCTAGCATTGCCCGAGGATGGGCTATGGATGAGGAATGAATGAGCTGGGGATAGTCTCGTCATAAAGTGGGAGAGCTGATATTTTGTTTGTTTTTTCTTTTAAAAAAGTAAGTTTTCAGGTAGATGAATGAGGACTGGTAAAGAAGCAGACTTAAAGAGGAGTGTGGGTGTTGAGGGAATAAAAAGGGGGTTGGAGGAAAGGAAGAAATGTCTCCTGTGTATCATTAGGCAGCCACGTAGAACAGAACCCATTCTCCTTTCTGGCTTGTGATGCTGATTGGGTGGGAATGACTGAGTCACACATTGGAAACAGTGAGTCAAAGCTTGTCTTTGTCCTCTTTTTTTTCTTCACTAAATAGGATTCCTTATATGGCGGCTTGTTTTGCTGACAGGCGTCATATTCTTGGGGATGATGTTCACCCTAAGGCAGGTTTCCAGATGGCACCTGGGGGAAGGTTTTCTTCAGTTCAGATAAGAAAGATTGACTCAGAGGTAATACCCTCCTTTCCTCGAAGAGTGTGTATCTGTGTGCACTCCTTTCAGCATGTATAATGGAAAAATAGCCTAATCTTAGTCCTAATCAACAGGGATGAATAATCACCCTCAGTGTTACCCACTGAAGTGTTGCTTAATGAGGAATGGGAATGGGAAGGAATCAAAGACTCATTTTAGTCAATGGTTTCAACTCTTCATGCTGAACCTCATCCTCCACCACCAGACCTTTAACCAGAAGTGCTGACAACCACTTAAAATGGCATTTATAGCATTTCCTATCTCTTCTTCAACTGATCTTTTATTGCTGGCTGCCATAAATGCCCATGAGGTGGGCAATAGAACTCTAGGGGATTGATTTAATCACCCACTAACTTGGTCAATGACATCAAATGTTCAACAAAGGAATTTGAACTCGACTTGGCAGACAATAGGGAATCACTGATGGTTTTTGAGCAAAAATGATGTGTTTCCAGATCTATAGTTTCCACAGAGCATGAATAGAGGTATTTTTCTGTGATAGGTTCCTTCTAGAGCACTGGATTTGAATTCTGGCTTTGCCATATCCTGTCTGTGTGACATTAGTTAGACAAGTTATTTTACTACTTGAGGCCTCAGTTTCCTCATCTATAAAAGGAGAAGGTTGAAATGGGTGTTCTCTAAAGTCTATTTTACCCCTTAATCCTACAATTCTTGGAATGGGAGTCAGATGTCAAGTTGTTGGGAGTTTGGGGCTATTGGTCCCTCCCTTGCCATCCTATCCCAAAATAGGTCTGCATAACAAATGTTAGACTTCAAAGACCCCTGACATAGAAGAAGCATCCCAGGGGCAAATCTTGCTTACCTTGCCCATGTTTTTCATGTTCAAGATCGCAAATTGCCAGAAGTATATTTGGCAGACTTTCCCATTGTACACAGATAGTGTAGGTGATCACAAACACAGAAAAAAGACAAAGCAATCATGGAATACCAGCCACTTCCAGTGCCATACAGCTCTACAAGGAAGGGGTCTGACCTGGCTTTCTTGCTTTCTCCCTATCAACACAATCAGAGGGAAAACCATAGTGTAAGGGACAGCACCAACCCATAGGGTCTGGGCCAGCCTAATTTTATCTCTTACCTCCAGTAAGCCTAAGAACAAATCCTCCTCTCTTCTGAGCTTTCCCAGGACTGTCAAAGGCATTACTATGCTTCCAGTCACCCTGGTTCTCAAACTTGGTGTCATCTATGACTCCATTCTCATTCATTCCACATATCTAATTAATTTTCAAATCTCATTCACAACATCTCTCACAAAAATCCCCTTCTCTTCATTTACAAAGTGATGAGCCTAATAAAGGCCTTCATTAACCTTCACCTGGACTATTGCAGTAACCTCTCATTTGGCCTTTCTGCAATGCCTCTCTCCACTCCAATCCATCTTTCAGAGAGTCACCCAGGTGATTTTCATAAAGCAAAGGGATGACCATGTCAATCGTTACCCCTACTCAACAAACTCCTACAGCTCCCTAGTACTTCTAGGATCAAATACGGACTCTTCTACTTGACATTTAAAGTTCTTTACAACCTAGCCCTTTCTTATCTATTCAACATTTTTAGACATTATTCTCCCCCACACACTTATGTTCCTGCCATAGTTCTTCCCACATAACAGTTTGTCTTTCTTCTCCACTCTGTCTTTTGGGACCATACCATGATTATCCCCCTGGCGTGGAATGTCCTCCCTCTTTACTTTCACTTCATGGAATCCCTCTATCCCTTCATGGCCTCCTCCAAAACTCAGCCCAACTGCCATCTTCTGCATGGAGCTTTTCCTGATCTCCCTTGCTATGAGTATCCTCCCTCCCAAGACTACTGTCTGCTCACCTAGCACATATTCTGTGTATTTTTATACACGTGCAAGTTGTCCACCCCTTTACAATAGAAGTGTCTTGCAGCCAGGGGCTGCTTCATTTTTGTCTTTGTATTCCCAGCACTTAGCACAGTGCCTGGTACATTGTTGTTCAGTTGAGTCTGACTCTTTGGGAGCCTGTGGACCATACTATCCATGGGGTTTTCTTGGCAAAGATACTGAAGTGGTTTGCCATTTCCTTCCCCAGTGGATTAAGGCAGCCATAGATGAAAGTGACTTGCCCAGGGTCACCCAGCTAGTAAGTGTCTCAAGCTGGATTTGAACTTAGGTGTATCCAGACTCCAGGCCCAGTGTTCTATCCACTGAGCCATCTAGCTACCCCACTTGGTGCACAGAAAGCATTTAATGATTGTTGGTTGACTGATTGACAAACAAACAAATTCCCTTATTGGAGCTATTGGCAGTGGCTGATACCTTCCTACAATAGATAGGTCAACTATTTTGTTTCCTCAACTGTAGTGACAACAATGCCTGGGCAGATAGCATAGTATTATGTAGTTATCCCTGGATTTCACCTTTAATGTCCCTGATTTGCAGAGAAGGGGGGTGAGGGGAGGGTTTGTGTGTACTTGTACATATATGTATACCATTCTTATGGGGAAAATAGATATGTGACCTGGTGGATACATAATTAGATAGATTCACAATTGATTGACCAAAGAGCAGTTACTAATGGAAGAAAAGAAGCACATATGGGTTTACCATATGTAAGACACTGTGCTAAACACTGTATAAGAATTATCTCATTTGATCCTCACAACAACTCAGCTAGGTAGGTGCTATGATTATCCCCATTTTATAGTTGAGGAAACTGAGGCAGATAAAAGTTAAGTGGCTTGCTCAGGGTCACATAGTTAAGAAGTATCTGAAGCCAGATTTGAACTTGGGTCTTCCTGACTCCAGACCAGGCACTCTTATCTACTGAGTCAGCCAGCTGCCCTGTTACACTTATTCTCTTTGACCTCAGAGGGAAGACCTAGGAATAATAGGTAAAAGTTCCAGAGAGAGAGATTTAAGTTCAATGTTAGAGGTTAAAAAAAAAACAAAAAACCCCCTCCCTAACACTTAGTGCTATCCCAAAATAGAACAGGCTCCTTCAGTAGTAGGACCTCTCTCGAGGTCTTTAAACAAAGTCTTGATGTCAATTTGTCACACATATCATAGAGGAAATTTTGTTCAAGTTTGGGTTGGATTAGATGGCCTTCAAGGTCACACCTAACTCTGATGTTCCGTGATTTTGATTCTATGAGACATATCTATAAAATTAGTATTAAATACTTCTATTATCTTTTGTAGTGAGGAAAGCACTTTTATACTTTAAAGCCCTATATCAATGTGGATCATGGATGTAAAGCCGGAATCGGCCTCAGAGGCCATCTAACTCAACCCCACTCCCACTCTACCCCATTTCACAGTAGAGGAAACTGAGGCCAGTCAATGTTATATGACTTGACTAAAATTACATAAGTAGTAAATAGCAGAAGTATGATTTGGACCCATATGCTCTGGCTCCTGATGTCATGTTTTTTCCACCAAACCACAGTGCTTCCCAAGCCATTTCTTGCTTCATCTTGAAGTCATCTTCAAATCATTCTTGACAGGACAAATGTGAGTAGTAAGGGCTCCCAATGGCTACTTCACTGTAGTTATGCAAATGGCCACCTGCTAATGTGTCCAGAAGGCTGAATCTGAGAGCAAGGTGAAAGAACTCAATGTTCTTGTTGATGCCTTGACATGCTATTTTCAAGCACATATCTCCAACTTTGTGTGTGGCGTTCACTATATTGTGTGGGGAATTCTCGGCACAGACAAGGTGATTAGTGCTTCACCAATCATTGACAGAGTAAGTAAAGGATTCCCTATCATGCGAAATAGAGGTGATGTAACTTTTACTATCTACCCCCTCAGGGTGGTTGGCAGGAAAATGTGGCATAAATCTACACTGTTGCATACCCAAAGGAGGTCAAAGACAGAGGGGAAATTCTCATGTATTCAAAAATAATTATAATAGCACTTTGGGGTACTTTTATTTCTGCTGTTTAATAAATACTAACTAATATGAGCATTTCTACATTTTTGCAGAGAAAAAGAGGATTATACACGAAACTGAAAATCCCTACTATTGGTATTCTTTTTAGGGATATAATTTGTTCCCACCTAATTTATATAATAAATTCAATGTGTAACTTTTGAGTGCTCCTCTTTCTCTGTGATTCTGTGTGACCTTTCCTTCCTCTTTGGTGAATTTAAAAAATGCTTTCATGACTCTCTTTTATCCCTTTTCTTTTTACCTTTTTTTTTTCTTTTTTGCAATCTTATCCCAACTCTCTCCCCAGTCCCATGCTCCTTCATTCCAAACTCCTTTCCCCCACTGGGGAAAAGAAAAAAGAAAAACAAACATAGCACTTTGTGATAGCAATGAACCAGAAGAAAAGTAAGTATCCATCAGTTAGGGAATAGCTAACAAACTGGGAAGGTGACATATGAAGGTAATGGAATAAACACATGAATGATGGAATGTTACTGAACCATAAGAAATAAGGAATGTGGAGGATTCAGAGAAATATACAGACTTGTATATATTAATGAATGCAAATAAACTGAGGAGAAACAGAACAATTTATATAATAATCACAATAATATAAAGGAAAACAATGTTGAAAGACTTAAGAATATTGATTAGTGCAATGTACATTTATGACTTCAGAGAACTGATGGTGAAGTCAGTCAATAAGCATTTATCAAATGCCTGCTATGTGCCAGGTACTATGCTAAGCCTCCCATTTCTAGGCAGGGGGTGATGGACTATAGGTGGAGAATGAGGCATCATTTACATTTGTAGACATGGCCAAAGTATTGATTTATTTTGCTTGATTTTCTTTATTTGTTACAGGGGAAAGTCCTCTTGGGGAGGGAGAGTCATTGGGAAGTGATGGGGGCATAAAAAATGGAAAACAGCATCAAGAAAACATTTAAAAGGGGAAAAGTTGTAGACTGTTATTACCATTTTTGTTAGCACAAGGGACACAGAACCAATTGTCTGGAAACCTGGCTTCTACTTCCTATTTTATGGACTTGCTACATGTGGCATTGGACAAATCACTTTACCTCTCTGGTCCCAGTTCACCAACATATAAAATGGCAGGAAGGTTGGACCAGACTGTCTCTGAAATCCCTTCCAGATCAAATATTCTGTGTTTACTGTCTTCTAATTCTTTTGATTTTATTTCGTGGAAATCAGTTTATGGAGAGTTATAAGTAGATATTTGTGATTATTTCAATATTTATTATTTGTTCAGATTTTTTGAAGATTGTTTAGATCATATTTAGATTAGTATGTTGGGAAACAATAGATGTGAGAGTTGGTAGGAGGAAAGGACTTTGGGGAAAAAATGCAGTGAGATAGTGAAAATGTAGGATTGGAAAATTGACGGGTTTTTTAAATCTATGACCATAAATTTAGAGCTGAAAAAGATATTAAAGGCCATCTAACTCAACTTCCTCATTTTACCAATTAGGAATTCGAGGCCCAGAAAAGGGAGATGGTTTCTTGAAGGCCATCTTCACCAGTTCTAATGGTACCAGGGCATCTGCTAGGGCAATTCATTACACAGAGGGGGTCAAAGGACTGCAAGCAAATGACACGATCACCACCAGGTGAGGCTACTTTATATTTTCTTTATATTGGATAACTCTCATCTGAGGATTTCAAAGGACTTCATTTGTCTCCTCAATATCTCTCAAATATGAACGGCAAGTGCCATTACTCTCATCTTACACTGATAGAGGACAGCTTTTGCTCTTCTTATTTTTCAGTCGTGATTCAGAGAGATAATAATGGAGGAGAGAAGAGCCCGGCATGCTGTGGTCCATGGAATCACAAAGAGCTGGACATGATTGAACAACAAAACAACAACAAAAATCCCCAGAGCCTGGTACAGAGCTTGGTACATAGTAGGCACTTATTACATGCTTATTGATTGACTGATTCACAGGGCCAACAGAGATCTGATTAAACATTTTAATCAATGACTTAGATAAAAAGCATAAATGTCCTGCTTATCAAATTCGTGTATATTGTGGTGTGGATCTGTGGTCTGATTGAGGAAGGGAACTCCCAGTGTGGAAACCCCCTCTAATAATCCATATTGGCAGCCATTCTGTAAGTTGCAATGTTAGAGAGTTACCTAGGGCACTGAGAGGTTAAATAGCATTACCATGAGAATGCTATTTAACCTCTCAGTGTGTCTCAGAAGTAGAGTTTGAAACCAGGTCTCTCTGAGAGGTATCTGGCTAATTAGCTATGCAATCTGTTGACGCTCCATGTTGACAATCCATGTCACTCTAACACACAATTTTAATGTATACTGTTAAAAAAATAAAATAAAAAATTAGCAGCACTCTTTGTCCTTGCAATTACAATGTATTTAGTTCCAAATAATGATCATAACTAACATTTCTATGGTGCTATAAAACAGCTTTTGCACAGCAATCCACAGAAGATGGTAGTGCATGTGTTTTAGTGGCATCTGGGTGGCACAGTGAGTACAGCACTAGACCTAGATTCAGGAAGCTGTTGCTGTGATTGTTCAGTCATTTCAGACTCTTCATGACCCCATTTGGAGTTTTCTTGGCAAAGACACTAAAGTGGTTTGCCATTTCCTTCTCCAGCTCATTTTACAGATGAGGAAATTGAGGCAAGCAGGGTTTAGTGACTTGCCCAGGGCCACCCAGCTAGTAAGTATCTGAGGCTGGATTTGAACATGGGTTTTCCTGACTCTAAGCTTCGTGCTTTATCTCCGTGCCACCTAGTTTCCCTAGATTCAAGAAGACCTGAGCTCAAAAACAGTCTTAGACACTGTGACCCTGAGCAAACCACTTATCCTCTATCTGCCTCAGTTTCCTCATTTATAAAATGGGCATAATAATAGCACCTATGTCCCAGGGCAGGTAGGATGGCCTGAGTTCAAATCCAGCCTCCAGACATTAACTAGCTGTGTGATCCTGGGCAAGCCTCTTACCTATATCTGCATTATTTTTCTACATCTGTAAAATGAGTATAATAATACCACCAACCTCCAAGGGTTGTTGTGAGGATTAAAATGAGATAAATTTATAAAGTGCTTTGCAAACCTCAAGGTGCAGTATGAAAGTTAGTTATTATTACTACCTGATGCAGATGAGACTGAGGTTCAGAGAAGTAAAATACCTTTCCACTCCATACCCCAGAATTGTTGCAGTGTGGTAGAAAATTACTTTCCCTCTGATTTCTCCCAATGCTCCAGCAGTGCTCAGTCTCTGTGGAAGACAAGAAGAATCTGGGCAGAGACATAAGGATGAAGGGAATAAACTTCAAAGGAGGAGAGATCACAGAACAGTATATGCGAAAAGAGGCTCTGGCAGGGATGGGAAAGGGTCAGAAATATTCCCTCTTCCTTCTGAAGCTGTTGGGAGGTAAGGAGAAGGATTAGCTTTTGCTGAAGTGTCATCTAGAAAAAGCCAGGTCACCATTATAGTCAGAAGATGGTAAGGGTATGAGAAGAAGGAATCCAAGCAACCAATAAGCATTGACTAAGGGCCCAATATGTTCCTCCAACTGTGATAGGCACAGGAGATACAAAGACAAGAAAGGTCCCTGACCTCAAGTTTTTTTTCATGTAGCTTGATCCAGAGGGCACAATGTAAGGGGAGGGCAGAGGAAGACAAGAGCTGAGCATAGGTTGTACTAAGTTGGATGGAGTGAAGGGAGAGGTGGCAGAGGACAGGTTTATTGTTGGTTTGGTCTGTTTGTTTAATCTCCACACACTCAGACTGTCTGAATCATGGGAATTAGGGGGGCAGGAGGTAAGAATTGGGTAGTCCCAGGGTAGGCTGTGGCATATTGAGTAGACAGCTGGCCTCAGTGCCTGGCAGACCCAGTTCATATTCTGCCTCTGACATATATGGAGTGGGAAACTCTGGGAAAGTTGCCACATTCTGGGCACTAATACTACAAGTTTCAGAGAAGGGGCCATCTTGCATTGGTGGAGGGGAGGTTTCCTCACGGAGAGTTCCTTATATCAGTGAAATCTAGTTCCTATCTATTGTCTTTATTCTAGAATAAGGAAAGTACCAATTGCTCAGGTATTCAAGCAATCTGGAGATCTGTGGAAAGGGCATTCAGCAAGCTCAGGAGGTGAAGGAGGCCATCTAATGGAGGTTGTTTATAACAGTGATAGCTAGACCTTGACCTTCAGTCTGAATGGTAGGTACTCTGAAGGGGATTACCTTTGTAGAGAGCTGTTCTGAGGGAGAGAAGTTACAGTTTCTTCTAAAATGTTCCTCTTGATAGAACATCAAGAACTTTTGATAAATAAGTTAAAGTTCAAAATAAAAAAATATATACTTATCATTGGCCTGGCATGGGTATTGCTAGGGTTGTGAAATTTGTGCAAAGTAGCTATAAGTCACTTGACTAAGAGAAGAACTCTGAGGTCTTCCCTACTTCTAGATAGGGTACCCAAGGAAAAGGTAGCCTGGAGAAGGTAGAACAGTTTTCATAGAAAACAATTTTGAACTGTGGGGAGAGTATACTACCCTTCTTATACAGTCTTTGGAAGTTAAAAGTACCATCATATCTATGATATTTCTCAATATCATCCAGTTTTGGAAAATAGCTGTTTTTCAAAAGAGTGACAACTCTGTAAAAGTCAAACTATTCAAGAATAGTTATAGATAATTGCTTGAAATGAAAGCATTTAAATTTAATTGTCTTAATTTTTCATTGTCTCATTTTTTAAGTGAAATAAGATCTCTTCATGGTCAATCAATCAATGAGCATCTAAGTGCCTACTCTGTGCTTGAGACTGTATAGGACACTGGATAAATATATAACTGGTTTGATGAGAAAAATCTACTGGAGTAATTGAAATGAATATAATCAAAGACAATAGAGGTGATTTAAGTACTGGAAATGTTAGAAACTTAAGATTAAAACACTCAAATACAGAAAATACAATCCATTATAGTTATCACTGAGACTTACATGTAACTTTATAGATGAAGAAGAAAGACCATTGTATTTGTTTTGTATGACTGCTTTAGCTGTTAGATAGCATGTAGCATAATACAGGGAAATGACTACTTGAAAATGTACGTGGAGAATGTATTGGCAAGACAAGATAATTTTTCCAGAGAAAATAAGAATATTTTAATAAGCAAAACCAAATTTAATTGGGAGATCAGCCAACAAGAGTCAAGTAAAACATGCACAATATACTCTGCCTGGTGCAAACCCACGTGGAGGTTTGATGGAACCTGCTACTGAGCCCAGACTGAATATACATGCATAAGGTTTGAATAAATGGAAGAACTCTCTTTTGCCTGATGGCTTTTAAGTGTGGAAAAAAAGGAATGTTGTAGTCTCCAGATGGGAATACAGACAGTCCAAATGGAGGCAATGGTCTGCAACACCAGCACCCCAATTTCCCTACCCTACCACTATGCTTGTGAGCACATGGCACACCCTCTGTTTCTGTTGCTGCTGTGTTAATTCTGAAGAGCATGCCACATCGAGAAAAAAAATTCAATATAATCAACAAATTTTTAAATTAAAATGAAATAAGGTAAGAGAATTGCATGGCAGTCTGGACTGAAGTAACTCAATCAATGTCAAGAGGAAATTCAAGGTTGCAAGAACTAGTTTAAAATGTGGTCCATTCTGCAATTCAGACATATTGCATGACTCATGATTACTGGGTCAAGAACAAAAAATAATGAGCAACATACAGGATTTCAGGTTGTTATAAGTTTAACTGGTTTTTGAGATAGGTCCCTAAAGACAAGGAGGAAGTGATTAGAACTTTGCTGTGTGAGTTTCTGGAGATACAGTTTTCAAGGAGACAGCCTTGCCTTCTTCCCACTCAGAAAGAAGCAGGTGTTTATAGGCTGCTGCCCAAGCCCCAGGTGGAGCAGCTGTCTCTGCTTTCTGTGGCCAGAACTGGATGACAGTTGGGAGACTAGGTACTAGATGAAGAAGTGGCTGTTTCCTGTCCCCCTTTCTTGACTCCTCAGATGACATATGTTTACTCCAAAATGTTTTTCAGCCTTTAAAGCTATCTTTACACCTTCTGTTTTAAGTAATGACAAAGTCAGCTTTCTTTAGATAAAATTCATATCTTAAAACTAGTTTTGGATTCACATGTCCTTAATTTCACATATTCTTGATCAACAGAGAAGCTGCAAGGAAAAGAGGAGCAGTGTTGGTATTGGAATACAGAGAACAAATCAGAAAGCTTACCTCACTATGTCTAAAACCCCAGGGTTTTCTTATTGTCTTTTAATCATACGTGGGGGCTCTAAGCTAAAAATGAGAAAGAATCTTATGGGTTTGGTTTTAATAATTTCGTTGATAAGGAGGGCAGGCACAGAAAGCTACACAAGTGTAATCAAATTTAGTTGAAAAACAGACTATTAAAAACAAGGGTCTTTATAAAATCATGTGGTGATATGGGGATGGAGCAAAGCTGTATTATTGTGAAATAATGGTTTTCTCAGTGCCAAAGTACTTTGAATGATGTTTGAATTAAAAGAAGAAACAGCAATGTTTTTATTTATACTAATATAGATGGAGAAAGTTCAGTGTGTAACAAAGATGCCCTTCTGAAATTTGTGTATTTGATGGAAATGCTCAGAAAAACCAAGTCATCTAAATAAACTGGTGCAAAGTCCTCAAAGTCATACTCTGATCCAGAGAGAGAAAGTGACTGCATTTGGTACATCATCATGTTGGAATACTATTGTGTTGTAAAAAACGATAAGCTGGTTGGTTCTAGAAAAACATGGAAAGACTTACATGAAATAATGAAAAGTGAAATGAGCAGAACCAAGAGAACATAGTATACAATAAGAGGAAT